TTAACCCTGCATGGTGTAAATGTTTGAAAATGATTAACAGTTGCAAATAAACATTCATTAGAAATTTAGAAAAGTAATCAAAAGTAATCAGTTACATTAATAAAGTAACTGAAAAAGTTACACTACTATTACACTTTAAATATGGCAACTTGTAATCTGTAACCTATTACATTTCTAAAGTAACCGTCCCAACACTGTGTACACTCACCGGCCACTTTATTAGGTACACCTGTTCAATTGCTAAAGGAAGTGCTGAACTTTTAATGTGTGTGAAGACTACCACCCAATAAAATCAGAGCAAACAAACAGAAGTTCTCATACCCTCACTTGAAGGCAGGTTGTGGAAGGTGGTGTAGGGTTTATGGTGAGTGTGGAGGTGTTGCTGGCTGAAAGAGGAGTTCTGTTGCTTCTCTAGTGTTGGTGGAGGAGATGTAGCGGCCTTCAGCAGATTGATCCCTGTAGACAGCAAAGCTCCAGACAACCTGGAAGAGAGAAAGTGAGCATTAACTATTAAGATTAATGGTTGAAGATAAACAGTAAAATTTCACATAGAGTATATAATTTATAGTCCTGTGAATATTACTTTATAGCAACTTTATAGCCTCACCCCATCCTACCTTTAACCCTGAAAAAGATCTGAGAGGATTACCTCAGAAAAAGAGTCACATAGCCTAAAGTGAAACATTATTTATTTTTTATTTTTTTATTTATTCTAACATGCTTTATCCTTTTCCAATTCTTGTTATAATGGAAAGTCATGAGCCTGGTTTTGATTGAGTACAAGCCTGTTCTTTACTCCAGATGCCACTTATACATAACATGTCCCTGACTTACTGTACACTGATGGCTTTGGGGAAGTTATGATAGCTTGCTCATGCTTGCACACAATGGAACAAATAAAGGCTTTGTTAGTGCCATTAGATGCAGCTGTCACAAGCAAGTCTTCAAATATGCAAAACCAAGTTCCAGCGAGACGTGGAGTGCCAACCCAACGGCCCTGTGAAGTTGTTCCTGCCCCCTAAGTCAAGGCTCTCTGCCTTTAGTGCACACATCAAAGAATCATATTCTGAATTTCAGAAATGAACAGAGAACAAAAACAAACTCAAAGAATCGCCTGTTTAAACAGAAGTATGACAAACAGATGCTCATCATGATGTAGTTATGGAGAGATATTATGAGGACATATACAGCTATAATGTAAGATATGCAGGGTCAGAGGAAATTAAATTAATGCACTTTACTGCCTGTTTGTTCTCCCTAATGATATATGTGACCCTGGACCACAAAACCAGTCATAAGGGTAATTTTTTTAAAATTGAGATTTATACATCATCTGAAAGCTGAATAAATAAGCTTTCCACTGATGTATGGTTTGTTAGGATATGACAATATTTGGCCGAGATACAACTATTTGAAATTCTGGAATCTGAGGGTGCAAAAAAATCAAAATATTGAGAAAATCGCCTTTAAAGTTGTCCAAATGAAGTTCTTAGCAATGCATAATACTAATCAAAAATTAAGTTTTGATATATTTACGGTAGGAAATTTACAAAATATCTCCTCACAGAATAAAAGAGTTTTGTGGCTTTTTCCATGGCCCTTAAAGCTAAAACCCATTCACTGTATATGCTAGTCTACTCCCAAATACTGATAAAATTCACTTTTAGAACACTGTGGTTCAAAAGTTTGCAGTCAGCAAGATTTTTTTTAACAAATTAATATTTTTTCTGTAATTGCACAGTCAATTTAGCAAAAGTGACAGTAAATACATGTTATATAAATGCTGTTCTTTAGAATTTTCAATTCAAAGAAATCTGAATGTAATGTATCATAGTTTCCACAAAAAATATTAAGCAACACAACTGTTGTCAACATTGGTAATAATAAGAAATGTTTCTTGAGCAGCAAATCAGCATATTAGAATGATTTCTGAAGGATTATGTGACACTGAAGACTGAAGTAATGGCTGCTGAAAATTCAGCTTTACCATCACAGGAATAAACTGCATTTTAAAATATATTCAAATAGAAAACAGTATTTTAAACTGTAATAATATTTCACAATATTACTGTTTTTATACTGTATTTTTGATCAAATAAATGCAGCCTTTGTGAACATAAGAAACTTCTTTTAAAAACATAAAAAATCTTACCGACCCCAAACTTTTGAACGGTATTGTACATATTAATATTTACAGTCTTTCTTGTCTGGAAAAATTAACCAAAAACATTGATGACTCATCCTGCACTACACCAATTTTTGTCCAATCAAACGCTCTAGAATGAGAATGTCATATCATGTGCAACCCACCAGCAAGCAACAAATGTTTGTTCATTACTTTGATCTTAACTAAATAATACTGCTATTTTAAAGAAAAGGCACAGGCCTTTCGATATGTCCCGCACAAACTAAAAAATAACAAAATAAATAAACCAGTGTTTATTAGGCCAGTGATATGATCTCATGTGAGTGATTTTAAACATTTTTGCTATAAAAACACTATTAACGAATAACACTTTAAACAAAGGAAAATTACTGACTGCACCTTTAGAGCATGTACATTTAAACAGACACATTATAAATTGCATTTAAATTGCCTTTTGCACTATCATCCACAGAGTTAAGACCTAGCGAAGGGCTAATGTAAAATTTGGACTCCAGTGAGCTGATAATTCTTTTTTATTTATGTTTCAGGCCTCGTGTGGGAGTGATATTTCCCATCGTTCATTTGCCCAGAATCTGATAAGGACTTCCTTGGCTGTTACATCTGTTAGACCATTATGTCGTTTTTCACTGTTAGCCAAATTCACATTCCAAGGACTCAGTTTTATCACAACTGCATAAAAAATATCAATTTTTTTTAAACTGTTCTCGGATGTAACCCCATGAGTCATGGGGCTTTTCTCAGACAGCCATGTCCACAACATATTTCACAAGGCATGCAGCATATATACGTTAAGGAATTAGAGTTAGCGGGCTAGCTTGTGTTCATATGCAGGAAAGCTGTTCGGATCTAGTCGCTGGCTGTGATCTGACGTGTGGCCATGTGTTTCTGCGGAGAGCACTGCGGCAGTGTTTCCCCTGGGAGCTGCTGTCAGCACAAGCTCAGGAAACAGTTATACTGTTTATATTTTTACAAGCAGCCTCTATGTGCAGCTAAAGTGAATTATGCTATAATCACTGCCAGCTGCAGCTTGCTAAGGCTCCAGGAATGAGGGGAATCTTTCATATACAAGATTAATCTCTCCCTTCGGTATTTACCTTCACTGATCATCTGCTTTCACATTCACAGGCTCTTTTTGTGACTATACAGCCTATCTTTCACGTCATAAGAGCTTTACAGTATATGCTGACCAACTGATCGTCCAAAAGTTCACATTCATCTAATATTCAAAAGTGATAAAAAAAAGCATTTGGCTTGCTCAAGTAACTCACAGTGCCACCCTGGATCTAAATAAGGAAAGAAAAGTACAATTGATGCTGGAAGACTTTTGCATTTCTGTTTCAAATAAATGCTGTATATATATAATATTATATATTAATAATTTTTTATGAGAAAATATCAAGTAGATATTACAAAAAGTAGCTTTAGAAAGAAATATACAACATAAAAACTATTACCCATAAACGTTTAGGCTACAATGGCCTAACAAACTATGAAACATAAACAAAGATCATTTGAGAAAATCTCATTTTTTGCGGGGCCAGTGCGTCAATCGTGTTAAAATATTTTAATCGCATTATTTTTCCATAACTAATACATTTAATTAAAACAACAGCCCTAATAGCAACCACTTTTTATGCATCGGTTTAGTTTAAATATTATTTTCCGCACAAACATGCCAGTTTCCTTGCAATTGAGATTTAAAATAAAATTCCACAAATTTTAAATAAATAAATTTTAATTTAAAGTAGATGTTTATTTGCATTTTCTATTGATCGCAGCAGCAGTAATTCAACAAATTGTAACCATATCCTCCATTCAGAACCAACAAAATGGGGAATTGTGTCATGCAAAATTGTATTTATCACAGATTTTTGGACCTTCTGAATTGGTTGTTTTGAGTCAAGAGTGATGGAATAGGAAACTTTGGTCCACTATCTAAAAAAAGGCAATGAGTCGACTTCACAGGAACTTCAAAGCATAATGACCTAACCCTTAATAGTTTGGTTGTGAACAAAGTGTTTACAAATGGTACTTCTTCAAAGTAGCAGATTGAGTAATAAAGCCAAAGTGCTGAATGTGACTCCATGGGAACCTGAATGAATATCCCAGAGCATCGCTCAGTTGACATGAGTAAGTCGTTACTCAGCACATCAGATAATGATTCAGTGAACATAACTCTTCTGAATATGATTCACTGGATGTGCTCCACATTAATGAACATAGTTACTCTACGTCTGGCTCAGAAAGTAACCACCAAAAGGTTCAAAGAACTATGGTCTAGATGGGACATACTGTAGCAACTTTGACCACAAAAAAGAAAAAAAATATCACATTAATGTGAATAACAATGAACATTGAAAAGTTACATTTAGGATGATGGAATAATACTGTTATTAAATGCAGTCTGTGAGGTTCATGAAAAGCTCTGTCGTTTTCAAACCCCTTAGTGTCACGTTCCAGTTTAATCCCTGTTGGAGGGGTCAAAGACCTTACAAATCGTGCAACAGAGGTGCTGCTTTCAGAAGTGAGGCAATCCTTATGCTCAAACAGACACAAATCCCCCAGGAGTTTTTTTTCCCCCCACATCCTTTTTGAATGAAGATTCATGAAGATGAGTGCTCTGTTCCCAGTTTGTCTTGTTTCACCTGTCAGGTTGTGCTCCACTGGGAGACGGCGTGTATGAGAGAGTGTGGATATCCCCAGTGTCTCACGGTAAGCTCTTCTGATTGAAGAACGAAGTGGCCGCTGACTTGGCACGGGTCGGTGGGAACCTTTCTGGTTCTGGTTAGCAAACTAAAGCCACTCATGAGAGATCAGGCCCTTACTGATCCGAGCCTATTGCTTGCTTCTAAACACTCAAAAGCGAAAGTGCAGTCAAGCGGGGAAATTAGCTTAAGATACAATGTATCAGTGGAGCTACTGTTTAGATCAGGGGGTGATACTGAAATCTGCTGAAATGGACTCAAGTTCAAGGAATTTGATTATTTATGACTATATTTTATGACACTAATCAAGTGTTTTATGAGACTAATGAGACTAAATATATATGCAAGTTTAGAATAACTAAGGTATTTTAATGTTTTTGAAAGAAGTCTCTTATGCTTACCAAGGCTGCATTTATTTAATAAAAATACAGTGAAAACTGTGGTAATGTGTGATATTATAATTAACTGTTACATATTTTTATATATTTTAAAATGTAATTTATTCCTGTCATGACAAAGCTGAATTTTCAGCATCATTACTCCAGTCTTCAATGTCACATGATCCTTCAGAAATCATTCTAATATGCTGATCTGATGCTCAATAATTACCAGTTATTATTGGTGCTCAATTATTAATTATTGTAATTGTAATTGTTCTTATTATCAGTGTTGAAAACATGTTTATGCTGCTAATTTGCTTATTATATTTTTTTGAAAACCTACATTTTTTTCATGATACATTTTTTCCCCTCAGGATTCTTTGATGAATAGAAAGAAAAAAAACATTTATTTGAAATAACAGAAATCATTTGTAACATTATAAATGTCTTTGGTGTCACTTCATAAATAAAATAGTAAAATACATTTTTTTTTTTTTTTATCGTACTTACCTCAAACATTTGAATGGTAGTGCATCATGGTTTTCACAAATATATTAAGCAGCAAAAATTGTTTTTAACTCTGATAATAATAAAAAATGTTTCTTGAGCACCAAAGAAGAATGTTAGAATGATTTATGAAGGATCATGTGACACCGAAAACTAGAGCAATTCAGCTTGACAAAAATAAATTACATTTTAAAATATATTAAAATAGAAATTAGTTATGTGAAATGGTTATTGTAGTTTACTTTATTACTGTTTTACTGTATTTTTGTCAAAAATAAATGCAGCTTTGCCGAGCACAAAAGACTTTCAAAAACATGAAAAAAATCTTACCAACCTTAAATTTTTGAACAGTATTGAATATAAACGTATTCCAATATAACATATAAAAAAATTGAATATCCTCTCATTAATACAAACCTGTTTCTCATTACCATTAAGGTAGACCAGGATCAGCTATTCCTAATTTTACTGTAAAACTGTCACCTACAAAACATGTAAATGAAGTCGTTGAGGTGCCAATGCCACCCATTAAGCCCCTCGGCCCTCCAGGCTGGTGAGCACGTTCCTCTGAGCAAAATCCGAACACTTCTGCATCCCTCCATCTCAAACTCCATACAACGGAGACCACTAGATGTATTTTCACTGGCATATATTTTAATATTAGCTTCAGAAAATGACACTAGTATTTGCGAAGTAAAAGGAGTCTAAATGGGCCATTTCAGCCAGGGTAAACACATTTAGCAATGAGGTCAGAGGCTGCAGCAGTGGAGTCAAGAAAGTTAGATAATTTTGTCAAAATGTTTAACGTCCTGCTAAACCATTTGGGAAAAACAAGAGCGGCAGCTGCTGTTGACTTTGGCAGCCAAGTGTATACTCAAGGCTTTAAACATGTAAATCAAAATGCTCCATCTTCAAACGCAAGTAGACGTTTCATATCTGGTTATTTGTAGGTCCTAGCAGAGATGCGGCATTAGACGGATGGCATAAAGCGTGCTATATGTGCGCATATATTTTTGATCGGGAACCCCAACTCTAATGACTTCCGAAAACAAGAAGATGGCCATTTTCTTAGCGACTGTATGAGGAAGTTATAATATTACAGCTGACACTTGACTTACTAGGTGGATAAAATGCTATTACGTTTCAAGCTCCACATATACTCATTACTTCCAAAAAAAGTTCACGTCCACCTTCATCTCATGCTCTGTGTGAAGGGTGTGTATAATCTTACGTTTTCACAGACTTAAACCTTCAGCATCAGTGAAAAGCAGAGTCCTCTGTATGCTTGAATATGTCATTGTGACCTTCAGTGCAATAGCATATAGAGTTACACGCGTATCCTCTGAGCTGGTTTCGTTCAGCTCTCATTCCTCTCCAAGTAGCAGTAATTGTTTGTGGAGCTTTAAAATGGTTTGCTAATTTTCTTGAGCGTTTTTTGCATTCTTTCTGTGACCTGGAAAAACAGCTCACCTTCCAAAAAGATTTTTAAGGACATGACAACTCACTGCTGCCTGGGCACATTTCATGGATGTTGGAGTATTTTTGCTAGAAACTGACATATCCAATGGGCTTATGCTAACGAAAACGTCACTTTGATTCAAATTTCAGGCTAAAAAAAATATTTACACACATTAACAGTGCATTCTAAGTATACATGTTTTTGTTTTCCCTAGGAATCAGACCCACAACCTTGGTGCAATGCTCTACCAGTTGAGTAAACAGGAAGAGAAAAAGAACAAGAGAAGTATAAAGAGTTGCAAAGCTCATTATTGTTTCGATAGTTATGTTGTTTACAAGCTCTTGAATTAGTTTCCATTCTCAGATGTGGGTGAAACTGGTTAATTTACTTAACACTGCACTTTTGCTTTCATTTAACTATGATAAAGAACAGAAAAATCCCATTTAAATCTGATGCTTTAAAAGAACAGATCTATTTTCTCTCCTTTTCTCTTTCTCATTTCCAGCATCTCTGTTTGTCACTATACACACTGCACATCTTGATGACACATTGAATTTGCAGCTCTGGACTTGGCTGGTCCAGAGGGAAATCATGGTTTTTATTGGGAAACATGCCTCAGTCCTGTTAGGGACATATTAGGCTTCATTGTATTCCTCCTCTGAACATTCCATAACACTAAACACAGCTTGAGGACAGAAAGGAACAGAGGTGCACTTTTTTGGGAACGCGGTCCTGCTTTAATTACACAGCACTGACAACTCTTAACTGAAGCCAAAAGCACAGAGTTGGTTTATGTTGTGTTAGGGTGACATTGGTTTAATCTAGATTTGCTGGATAAATACACACTGAAGCCAGAGCAAGAGAAGAGCGCAGCCGCAAGCATCAAATGCATCGTAGGGTGTGTGTTTTAGGAGCGTGTTACAATGAAAACAAACGTTCTGTATGGGCAAGGGAAAAATCTGCCGGTGGTGCTTTGCATGGTAAATAAATCCAGGCCCCTAAATCAGCATTGGTTCTTACACACAGGGAAAAACACATTAGACGGCACACATTACCAAAGAAAATCTCCTGTTATGAGAAAAACCTGGAGCAATGCAATAGCAACAAGATCCTGGATGTGACTAGTTATTACGAAGCAATTTGATGTCATCAAGACATGGGTAGGTGCTTTTCGTAGTTATTAGGTTTTAAAATAAAAAAAGCTCATTATTATTATTATTCAGGTGTATTTTTCAGTGACTGTTTCTGCTGGTTACATAGTACCAGTAGGTGGCGACAAATGAGTGAGTCAACGAGTGAGTTAATGAATCAACTCATCTGATTCATTCAAAAACACTGATTCATTCAGGAATGAAACAAGTGACTGTTTTTTATGAGTGAGTCAATAAATCATTCCCTCAACCAATTAGTTCAAATTTTAAATTAAACATTTACTCAATGATTCATTCAAAATACTGATTTATTCAGAAATTGATCAAGAACAGTGTCCAGGTGTATTTTTCAGTGACTGTTTCTGCTGGTTACATAGTACCAGTAGGTGGCGACAAATTAGTGAGTCAACGAGTGAGTTAATGAATCAACTCATCTGATTCATTCAAAAACACTGATTCATTCAGGAATGAAACAAGTGACTGTTTTTTATGAGTGAGTCAATAAATCATTCCCTCAACCAATTAGTTCAAATTTTAAATTAAACATTTACTCAATGATTCATTCAAAATACTGATTTATTCAGAAATTGATCAAGAACAGTGTCTGAATTCAGAAAAAAAACATACTAGCGTACTACTTATTATTTGTACTACATCTTTATATGGCAAAAATAGTAAGAGTAGTATGCTAGTACCCTAATCTGAATTCAGCCACTGATTCATTCCAGAAAGAAAAAATTGGCCCAGTCTTTATGAGCAATTCAACTGATTCATTCAAAAACACAGATTTATTCAAGAATGAAAATCTTTTTAAGTGAGTCAGTTAATAATATACTCAGTGATTAGTTCAAAACCACTCATTCATGCCAGACTGAAACAATCTATAATGCCCGGTTCAGACTACACGATTTTAGCCCGATTTTGCCACAATTTGCTTGACGTAGGATGTCGTGGGGATTCGTAAACGACAATGGGCGTCGGGACGCAAGATTCCATCGTTTCAGCACGTGTAGTGTGTCATAGTGGACGACAACCGATTCCGCATCTGCGATGCTTCACGACATCACGACAGAAAGATTAGCATGTTTAATTTTTTTTCCATCGTCCACGACGAGTTCTGTCACGCAAAAATATTGTGTAGTCTGAACCCGGCATAAGAGTGAATCAATGAATCATTAACTTAACCGATTCACTCAAAAACAGTGGCTGAATTCAGCATACTACTTAGTATTTGTATTATATTTATTTTTTATGGCAAAAACAGTAAGAGTAGTATGCTACAATCAATTCAGGCACTGAATCATTCCAGAGAGAAACAAGTGACTGTCTTTATGAGTGAGTCAAATTTACTCAATTGACTCATTTAAAAGCAATGATTCATTCATGATGAAACAAGTGACTACTGAGTGAATCATTATGTACTTTTTAATTAGACTAAAGTATAACATTTCATCATAATTTTTTTCCTCACTTCTTCAGACATCTCAGATTGTTCACAGAGCATATTGCAATGTACTGTCGGATTGCCTTTTCCTCAAAGGATCCATGCAGTGTCAACTTAACTCAAAAGGAGATATCTTTCAGAGATATAACAGCCTTTCTGTGACAGCTCACTCAATGGAACTGAGCCAATGTGTGTAACTATGACTACAGTGATATCTGTTACTGTGATGACAACCTTCATCCATTCTGACATCATCTACATTGATCTCATCCGCCTTGCGTGTATGTCAGAGCAACTGGGAGTAAATGTGACGCTCGGTGGGTTAGGTACTCACCCTTCCCGGGTGTTCTCGAGGCCAGACAGCGGGGAGAGATGGTGGGGGCTGCCAATGTCGCGGTCCAGGCGGGGCTGCCTGGGGGGCAGGTCAAGTCCAGAAGAGAGCAACTCAAGTGGGGCTCCATTGTGTGTCATGCTGGAGCCGGCGTACAGGCCTGGAAGACAAACAAAACTAATGTGCAAAACATGCCTAATAAACCTCAAGGAGCCCTCAAGAACGGCACATTGACCAAATTAAATCTCCACAAAACAGCCCTTAATGGCAACAAGTGCTTGTTATGACAACACAAACTCACCAAGGCCTTTTTGGATGAAATTAAATGTTCCTGTTCTGTGCTGTTAGCAGTTTATTGTACATGATTTATGTTGCTGTGCTGAATGGATTTGATTGACTGTTGCTGTTTTGAATGTAACATCTTTGACAGATCAGTTCAATTTTAATGGAATGGCAGAACTAGTAAGTATAGACAGATCTACTTGAAGCTACTTGTATTGAAATGAAAGGAACGGTATCTTTAGCCAAGGACACATAACCTTGAAGCAAAAAACAGCAGATGCATCAACTTCATCCACAGTTTATAATGGAAATAACAGTGTAGATCAGAGCTCCAACTGCTCCAAATGTCATCCCACCACTGTAAGCAAACGAGGCCAGATGAAAATGATAGTTGCTTGTTCCGTAAATGGGCTTCTACCGTCCCCAGGCTTCTTGTGCAGCCTGAGAGACTGACAGGCGGACACTCTTCCTGGTTGCTCCGGCTGTTAATGTGTTCCTCTGAATTTGCCCAGTAATTGTTTTCCCAGAAGCCCTCTGGAGGGACGGCTGTGCACTGACAGTCGTCAGCGGCTCGTCCCAGCACCCCTTCTCTTTGTGCTCCTCTTCATCTGCTTTACGGTGGAAGCGGGGGCCCATCTGACAGTTTTCTGAACTGGTTACAAACTTGATTCATTACCTGAAATCATCAATCAAAGTCTTTAAATGGTTTCTCCTTTAGCCCTAACATCTGCTACCAGACTGGGAAGCATTCAACATGTAATGGCCATGATTGCTTTAGTTGTTATCTGCTGGAGAGAGGGGAGGGGGTGCACCAGGAGGCAGAATCAGACTCTAAAGGCTGAGAGTGATTGTGAATTTCTAAATAATCAGTACATTCATTAATTAATACACATGTTTAATAATTAGTACAAGAGTGAATTTGAATTATAAACAACTTGTAAAAATGCTTTAATTAAGCAGTTTTCTAATTTGATATTTATTTTTTTATATCACACAAATGCACTTACATTTCTTAAAAGTTATACATATTATTTCAAGAATATACATACGTATATTTGTGTTATATAATTTGTTGTCTATACACACAAACACACACACATGACACATTTATAATGGAAAATAGATAATTATAAATATGTAAATATAAATAATTGATATATATTTAAACAACTCGTAAAAATACTTTTTTCATTTTCTAATTAGATTTTTTTAAATTATATTATCACATAAATGCACTTATATTCCTGAAAAAATTATGTATACATATAAATTATATTTCAAGTATACAGTATATCCCAAAAATGTTAAACAGTATTTGATATTATAGATAGAAAGATAAATAGACAGAAAGATAAATAGATAAGGCAAATAACAAATAAAACCAAAATGATAGAAATTAGTGTTGAAGAATCCATACCTTATCACAATATATAATTATGACATGATCAGCATATATTCAAGCAGCCACAGAGACTGCACAACATTGTATGGAGCAGCCAAATGCAAACCTACACAAAGACACAGCACAGGACTAGAACGCACTTTATACGTGCAAATTACAAAATGATAGAGGTACCCACTCTCCACTTTGCTTTTCTTTTTCTACTGGCCCCAGAACAAAGCTTAGGGAAAGGCAGAAACATCAGGAACATTAAATGCAGGCATCTTGGCCAGTTCCAACCACAACTTCTCCTCTAAACAAGAACAAACAGCCACAGTAACATAACAGGTCCTTCAGGCTAAAGACATTTGCACATTGAAGTAACAACTTATCCCCTTTGAACCGAGCAAATGAGAGAGACTGTGTAAGCCAGGACGCCTATTTTTCCCTGGCACACGTTGGGGGAGATTTAAGCTGTTGCAGTGTGAAGTGTGTTTTGTACAAGGATGCTTTAATGATGGGGAGTTCTGCAACTGCCCTTCAAATTACTCTCACATGGATGTTTAGAGTCTGTTCTACCTCTCTCCTCCATGAATTTTTGCTCTTAAAAGAATAGTTCACACAAAAATCTAAATTCTGTCATCATTTAGGGCATGTTCACACTTGTGGTTCGGTTCTCTTCGTTCTTTTGGTATGGACCAAAAAAAGAAAATTATACATTTAGTCCTGTTGACTGAATGCTAGTCAATTAGCACTCATACTGTCATTTTTAGGACCGATCCTTAAATTACAAAACAAAAACAAGGGGCTTTTATGATGTATATTTTGCAACATAACTTGCTGAACATCCCAAACAATCCTGTGCATGGGGCTAAATGCACTCATTGTATGTGCGTTCATTTGATGGTACTTTTACCAGCTGAGAACTTGTGAAGAGCTTATGAAATGTGTCAAAACATGGTTGCGTTTTCACTTATTCAAATGAACCGCACTAACAGAGCAATCGCACCAGGGTTTGTTTTAAGCGAACCAAACATTCCAAGTGTGAACACATTACTCTCATATCATTCAAAACCTGTATAACTAACTTTCTTCCACAGTTAACTTTCTTTTTTTTTTTTTTTGGAAATAAAATAAAAATGGAATTGTGATTTTTCTGGCATGAATTGCAATTTAAAATGTGATTAAAAAATTTTACAAGTATGCTATGCTTGTTTGTAGAACTGGCGATATAACAAAATAACAATAAAATAAAATTTAAAAAAAAAAAGGGTCAAGGTCACCTTTATTATTCCCACAGGGCAATTTGTTTCACAGCCAGCAGTAAACCATATACAATCAACAAACCAACACCACCACACACACACACACACACAAAAAACATGACTTCCATTAATAATATACATAAAATTATTTGTAATTTAAAAAACTGATGGCAGCTGGTATAAAAGATTTTTTTAAATTTATTGGTCCTACATAAAGGCAAATAATATCTGCGAGTAGAAGGAAGCAACTTGAAAACATTCTGCAAGGGATGGCTGGGATCATTCATAATTAACTCAGCTTTCTTCAAAGTCCTGACCTTATACAAGTCATTCAAATCATTTAAAGTGGTGCCAACAATCTTACCACACACTTTAACAATATCCTGCAATCTATTTCTGTTTTTTACATTAAGTGACCCATACCAGCACACAAATGAGAAAGTAATCACAGATTCAATACAACAAGAGTAAAACATCTTCATGAAAGTACTGTCCACATTAAAACTACAAAGCTTCCGCAGATAAAACATACGCTGGTGGGCTTTCTTACACACAGCATCCACATGAGCCTCAAAGGTCAACTTTTCATCTATTAAAGTACCAAGGTATTTAAATTGACGTACAACCTCAACAACATGATCATTAATAACCACAGGAGAGATGACTGTAGGATTCTTCCTAAAATCTATAATCATCTCTTTAGTTTTAAATACATTAATGTCCAGAAAGGACAAATTACACCAATCAATAAAATCTGCCAGGACAGGACCATGATCAAGATCCTCACTATTTAAAAGGGAAACAATCACTGAATCATCCGCAAACTTGATGATATGACACCTCTCTAATTGCGTTTGATTGACACTCATTAGTATAAAGCACAAATAAAAGAGGCGAAAGAACGCATCCTTGCAGTGACCCAGTCGAAGAAAAAACTACAGTATATCAGATAAAAACCCTGTTTACTTTCACACGTTGAGACCTATCAGTTAAAAAATCCATCAGCCAACATATCAGCCCAGAATTAATGCTATAAACCCTATTTAACTGAGGCTGGATACAGTTAAAGGCAGATGAAAAATCGATAAAAACTAATCGCACAAAAGTCTTTGCACCCTCAAGATGTACTAAAATCATGTTTAATAGAGTACCTATCGCATCATCAACACCCCTATAGACCTGTAGGCAAACTGAAACGGATCTAAATTTGCTTTTTTGCTAAATTTTCAAATAAAAGGAGAGAACGCATCCTTGCAGTGACCCATTCGAAGAAAAAACTAAAGTTATTCAGATAAAACCCTGTTTACTTTCACACGTTGAGACCTATCAGTTAAAAAATCCATCAGCCAACATATCAGCCCAGAATTAATGCTATAAACCCTATTTAACTGAGGCTGGATACAGTTAAAGGCAGATGAAAAATCGATAAAAACTAATCGCACAAAAGTCTTTGCACCCTCAAGATGTACTAAAATCATGTTTAATAGAGTACCTATCGCATCATCAACACCCCTATAGACCTGTAGGCAAACTGAAACGGATCTAAATTTGCTTTTTTGCTAAATTTTATTTAGTAGTAATAATAATCATAATAATAATAATTATTATTGTTGCGGTCATTATTATTAAATAAAAACATTAAACAAAATAATATATAAAAAAGTAATAATATAATAATATAAAAATAATATTTCACTGTAAAATTAAAATGATAATAAGGGAAACAATGATTAATAATAATAATAATTATTATTTTAATTAATTAATTAATTAATTAATTTACTTATTATTTATTATTACAAGTTTGGGAAGATGGTTGATGGATGTTGCATTTATCAGTAAATAAAGATTATCAGTAAATAAAAACTTAAATTTTAGTCTGTTCCTCAAATAAAACCATCATCTGGAAGACCAGAATGTAGTAACATGGATTACATTTATGATATTTTAATGGTATCCTTTTTGAAGCCTGAATGCTTCAGTTCCCATTCATTTTAATTGCATAGATAAGAGAGAGCAACACAGTTTTCAGAAAGTTTCCTTTTGCTTTCCATGAAAGAAATAAGGTTTGGGATGACATAAATGTTTGTAAATGATTACAGAATTTTCATTTTTGGGTGAACCATCCCTTCGACATTCTAGGTTTTGCCTTCTCATGAAATCTCCTCTGCTAACAGTATGTTCAGCATTATGACAAGAACAAGCAGAAGAGCATAATTACTTACAGGGAGGACCAAAACTACTGTGGTTAAACTTATGCAAAACAAACAAAATACAAAACATGCAAAACCTTAACCTCTGACCTCCCTCTCTAAATCAAAGAGTCATGAGTCATAGCCGGGTATTTTAAGGTAAGTGTCCTCTAGCACCAATTTACCGTGAATTGCAAAACATTGGAAGTAGCATGGGAAAATTCACATCTAACTCAGATCGTGCACTGCAGCTGTTTGCAATATCATAGCATATGGTCTTCATAACATTACAATCCCCTTTATTCTGTCATGTCCATTTGAGCTGTTAAATCGTAGCTTATTGGTTTTGGATCACATAAATGGTTCTGCAAGTGAATGTACACTTATACACATCTGGGTTTTGGTACATTTTAGGGTGGAGGGAACAATCCTCTACCCATCTCTACAAAACATCCCAGGATACATAAATTAGACAGCACATATACTCCTACAAAAACAAGCAGTGATGGATTCTATAGACCAAGATATACAATTCATAGCAGGGTATTTTAAGGTAAGTGTCCTCTAGGACCAATTTACCATGAATTGCAAAACATTGGAAGTAGCATGGGAAAATTCACATCTAACTCAGATCGTGCACTGCAGCTGTTTGCAATATTATCATAGCATATGGTCTTCATAACATTACAATCCCCTTTATTCTGTCATGTCCATTTGAGCTGTTAAATCGTAGCTTATTGGTTTTGGATCACATAAATGGTTCTGCAAGTGAATGTACACTTATACACATCTGGGTTTTGGTACATTTTAGGGTGGAGGGAACAATCCTCTACCCATCTCTACAAAACATCCCAGGATACATAAATTAGACAGCACATATACTCCTACAAAAACAAGCAGTGATGGATTCTATAGACCAAGATATACAATAATTTCTCTTAAGGTTTGGTAAACACCAGTTAATCTCACAAGTTAAAGTATAAAACTACAATCAACATCATCTTTAGAATCATTTATGCAATTATTTCAACATTTCAGATAGTATTATTATTATTTCAACAATCCCACACACTATACGTACTTGCAAATGTATCAAAAACAGATTTATTCACTCACAACGTTTCGGTCCTATGACCTTCATCAGACATATCTGATGAAGGTCATAGGACCGAAACATTGTGAGTTGTTGATTGATATCTCCAATACGGTAGGAAATTACATTAAACAAAACAAAACAAAGGATGTTAAATGTGAAACATGACTGACAGGGCATTTTAAACAGTGACAGAATGCACATAATTAAGCAATAGGATGGTTTGTTAAAGACACAATTGTGATCAATTAGTGTGTCCCAAAGCTTGCATACTTTTCATTTACACACTCAAAAGTATGTACCTTTTCTTCACTAAAAGAGTACATACTTTCAGGGCATGGAATAAGTAGGTGAAATGGGACGCAGCATTATAGTAACAAGCCACTTGACTTGACATATCATTGTGTTCATAGTACAAACGGAGCTGCACCCAAGTTTAATACTCATGGTATCAGCAAAAATAATAGTGATGCTTGTTTTAGCGAGCGCCACAAATTACAATTATAATCCATGATTGAAACTAAACATCCATTCCTCCTTTCCATCGGATTTCTTTTTATACCCTCATCCACTTCACATTACTGTCAAAAGAAAGTGCATACAGAGGATAAATTAAGCCATACCTGTGAATATCTCCTGGCCAAGTGCTGGGGAACGGCCTTCCTTCCCATTCAGAGAGTGCTGAGAGGTGGCAGGGCAGTGGGGATGCTGGGAAGGGGCGGAGCCATGCAGATGCTGGATTGACAGACATTCGCTCAGAGCATCTGATTCTAAATGGGGGCAGGCCCTTAGCTGTCAGTCAAAAAGATAACCAATTAAAAGATTAAGCAATAAAAAATATAGTTCTCTCTATGTTGAAAGGAGGAATGCACATAAAAAAAACATGTGGAACGTCCGCTCCAGAGAGTTATGGCGTAAAAAAAGAAATGAGGAGAGTCACACTTGTGTAAAATGGACTGGGCCCAAACAAAAGTCTTAAATAAAAAAAACACATCAGTCTGTGGTGACATCCCACACCAGCCAGCAAAGGAAATGACAAGCTTAGAGAGGAACGATTTTTTACCGCAAACAGGAACCTTTGATTGGAAACATGAGTGGATGAGGGGAAAGACATACCCCACATACACATCCATCGCCCCGAGTACAGGTTGGGATGCCACGTTACCGGCCACAGAGAGGTGGAGGGGTCTCTTTTGCTGGTGAGCATGCAAGGCTGATTTTTCCCTTCATAAGGCAACAAAATCAAAGTTCTGGCAGTAATCATGCATTATATGCGACATTTGTTTAGAATTTGGGGAGTCATATGTGTTTAGGACTTTTAGACTGACTTTGAAAGCTCAGATTGTAGCATGGAATTATGTGTAACTGGAAAATTATCTTCGGTCACATGAATTCGTGATGAGTGGACTGAATCTGGAGACGATTCATCGCAATAAACAATAGCCGAAATGATGCATGACATACAACTTGAATGCGTTTTGTCATTTTAATTACACTGCAATTAAGATTTTCAAAATAAAAGCTCACAAACTTGTGAATTAGATATAAAACAAACACGTTTTAATTACACACAAACAGGCTGCAGTTCTCGAATATTACAAAAGAGCACAAACCGCACGTTTTTCAGTTTAGATCTTTGTGCAAAACTCCCAGCCATTCGTCAAATGTTTTGGTGCTTTGCCGCAGCGTGCTATAACAGGCGTCGCTCGCGATAGATGGAGTGGGAGTGTTTGTTTGACATCTGGCCACTGAGGTATAGCACTGCACAGCTTATTAACAATGGTACACGCTCACATGTGTTTCTGCTTACAACGGCAAGCAAGAAGAACGCATCAGTCAGCTGTCATTTAGACCAGTGCAACAATGAGGCCATTCTGCTTATAATTACCCACTTTACCGAGGAATGCACTCTTCACCATGTAGATGCTGAAATGTGGTCAGAGTTGATCTATTGTTGGGAAATTATTTTCAAAGACAAACCTAAGTAGAACCAACCGCACCAATCCGTGAAAAAGACACAATTGACCATGAAAAATATAGACTACAAATGTTTCTAAAGGCCGATGGCAAGAGCCAAAGAGCTAATTGTACTGATGAGTTGTGCTGATGAGATGATTTGTACAGAGAATTTTTTTATCCTTACCTTCCTACGGACCTGCTGCTCTTTGGCGGAGTGGATCTTCACATGTTTGCGGAGGGAACTGGGGTCTGTGTAGCGTTTAGTGCAGCCTGGGATCTGACATGCATATGGTTTCTGAAACAGGAAATACACAATGTCTGAGAATCATAATTGTATGCAGTTCAGCCACAAAGAAGACACAGAAACACACTTCAATAGACACAAAGACATTAATCATTACATTATGACGACGTTTATAATTGAGTAGCTATAATTATAGTTTATAAGAGACATTAAATACGGTGCACAACATTTATGAACAGACATGGAAACTACAAATACATGACAATTTAGACAAGCAACTATTTGGAACTCCCAAAATAAATGATGTGTTTTTTTAAATTTGAAGTCTAAATAAAGTCATTAATTCTGCATTAAATTTCTAAATATAAAACATAAAAAACTGATTCAATATTTACATTTCAAATCTGGGATTGAAAATTTGTATTTAAATCTGAAAATACATAGAAAGTTTTTCGAATTTGAAAAGCTGAAAAAAAAATTTAAAAAAATAAATAACTATTAAAAATCATAAAAATAATTAATATTCGTTATTATTTCTAGATTACTAATACAGGTGTCAAATATGCAAATTTGTTCTTTATTTAGATTTGTGTTAAATCAGACAATATTATTTACACTTTCAAATTGAGTGTAAATGGACAAACACAAGTGCAATAACTGTTTATTTTGAGAGTTTATAAATAGTCAAAGTTCAAGAGGAAAGACAGTATCCTACCTTTCAGCTGAGAGGACGTAGGAAGAAGAAAAGAAGAATACAGATTGTTTGGTAAATGTCAGACAGACATACAGGTACTGTACAAAAACTTCATTTACTGGTTTACAGGTAACAAACTACTGTGCCAGTTTTATATTACTTTGCATTTTATCAGCGTTGAATTGTTTAAACATGTACATTTTAAGATATATATCAGTATACCCATGATTCTCACTGGAAAACTTTCCTGAAACACTCTCTCTCGGTCCAAAACATGCAGAGGTGATTTTCTCCCATGCATTTTACACTGCTGTTTCTTCTAAAACAGAGGCAGTCATTAAAGGGAAAGTGGATAGGCTTCCTTTATTAGCTCTCTTTTCCTACCTTCCCTCGTTCTCTAAATAACGCTGTTTTTACAAGCCGCTCGCGGGGCAGCTCGTCTCTGCGCATTTATTTGTTTTCACTGTGCAATGCCATATAATCCCCCTGAAGGTCTAAACGCACTGAAAACAGAAAACGAGAAAGCTTAGGAATGGAAAACAGAAAAAAGGCCGTCAAGAATAAATATCATTACAGTCGGAGTGATTTTTTCACTGTATATGAGGCGTGTGGGAAGGCTGTGACATAGGCGAGTTAATGTGCAACGCTGGGCATCTGGAGACGGGGGGCTAATTGGCCATGGCAGTGTGGCGGTAGCACAGCACGGGAGCTGTACTGCGATGTGATACAGCCAGGTTCTGCCAGTTAGTGAGGAATTACTAACTCAAGTTTTCCCTGACTTTTATTTTTCCTCACATTGTTGGAGTGGGATGCAAGATGTGCCTGCCTCTCTCTCTCTGTTTCTTTCTCTCTCTGCCATGTGTCGTTGCTATCACAAATGGAGCATGGTGTTAAACGATGTATAATATAACGTGTTTTCCCTCTTCAACCCATAGAGACATAACCTTATGCCTGTTTTGTGCACGCAAAATTAACTTGGGTCAAAGAAAGGTAGCAAACAGCACATTTATGGGTTTGTTTGTAAGGTCCATTTGGTTGGGGACTTAAGTGCTACACTGTGCTTGGGATTTTTGCTCTGAACTTGAAGGCCCTTGGATCAACCATGGTTCACTCTTTAGTTTTGTTAAAGGGAGGGAACAGAAGTTAAAATGTAGCCTGGAAAATCTTTTGAAAAATAGTTGGCAATACTAAAAGCTACTAACCACCTACGTAAGGGGGCAATATCTTTTAAAAATACTGATTATAAATATCAAACTAACAATACTTACTGGCAAAAAAAATGAAGGAAAAATATACATATAATTCTCCCTAAATTATATATTTTTTTTTATTCTGAAGAACAGCAGCATTTAACAAAATATTCTGCTAAAATATATCTAAAATGCTATGCACAGACACAGATTGTTTTATCATTTTTTTCGTTAACATTACTTGTCTAAATAAACTGATTCACTAGAATGAATCAGAGTTCCCAGTGCTATATACCAGAGAGAACCATTGGGATTGAAAGGATTGAAAAAAAAACAATCATTTGAAAAAACAATTTATATGAAAATGAAGACCTTTTAGGATTTTTCAACGCTATATATGAGAAAAAAAAACATTTAAGATTAACCGAATTACTATATAAATTTAACTTTCCAATATGAAAGTGAGGACCTTTTCGGATGAACCGATTCACTAAAATGAATCAGAGTGTCCAATGCTATTTATAAGAACCAATTGAGATGAACCAAATCACTAGAATAATCTTTTAACTACAATAACTTTCCAACTCAACATATGAAAGTGAGAACCTTTTAAGATGAACTCGTATATTTTAATGTGTCAACTTTTCAGTCCTACATAGAGAGAGAATGATTTAGGCAGAACTGATTCACTAGAATGAATCAGACTACATAGGAGGAAGGAGGACTGTTTAAGATGAAAAGATTCCCTAAAAAGAAAGATTCACAGCTACTGCCACACTTAAATGTATTAAGCATTTAGTAAAACTAGGCTATTAGTTTGTGTTTCCCAAACACTGCTAATTTCTATATTTAGGATGGTGTCAGTAAAGAGCAGTCTTTGTTTTCTTGTGTTTTGAGGCACTTCTTTTGAGTTTCAGGTATGACATACAGGTTAGGGTGGGCTGTATTTATGTACTCACAGTGTCCAGGTGTGTGCGCTGGTGCTTTGCCCTGTCGCTGGAGTTGCTGAATGCTTTCTGACAGCCCGGATGCTGGCACATGTACGGCTTCTCTCCTGTGTGACTCCGCAGGTGAATCTTCAGATTCTCCAGCCGTGAGAAAGCTTTGTTACACCCTTCAAACTGACGGGGAGAGATGACAGCAGTAAACATCAACAAGTGTTTTATAGAAATGCCAGCTTTTTTGAAGGATTATGGTTTACCAGGCCTTGCCTTTGTGCATGAATGTGAACAAATGTGAACAAACATTTGAATCAGAAAAAGCAATTCATGGATTGTTTTTCCATGTCATTTTTTATGTCAGCACTAGTCTGGCCAATCAGAATCACTCAAAAGTGTGGACCGTAGACAGTCATTACAGGATGGTCCTCTGCAATCTATCTCCAAGCATCTGTGTAATGAGGCACTGGACGTACTGATAATACATGCTGTCTTGTAATTTAAGGGCCTCATACATCCTATACAATCTCTTAGCTCCACCCCCAAAATGTCAACAGCCCTCCAATCAGGAGCCACGGATGGTACAGGGTGGCAGCTTATGGAGGTGTCAGAGAGCGTGAAACCTGACATGGCAGCTTTGCTCTCTATTGTCCACTGACCTCTAACTGAGGCCCCCGCTTCTATCACAGCTCCAGTTTCACTGAAGGAAAGAGCCTTCCATTCTTCTAATGGGCCCTCAGAACAACATTCGGGCTCTGGCCTCCTTCAATCACTCGCAAAAGGCTTGCTATTGAGGCCAGGCCATTTAATACGGGGCGAAACCTTAGACTGCCACGGTCGGGATATATTGAGTGACCTGGATTATACAGTGTGTGTGTGTTTGTGTGTGCAAAATTCTTATATGGTATATTAAAAGAATGTGGAAACAAGAAAAAGCATCAGCCAGTTACAGTTTCACACACACAGACAGAACTGGATTTGCATTTTCGGTAGAAAAAAATTCTAGTGCTTGTAAAGTAAACTTAGGTTCTGCTCAAATGAAATGTTGCACCAGAGACGCTTTGCCATGAGGCCTGGCTATTAAGGCTATTAACATAAAAAAAGAAAGAAAGAAAGAATAAAATAATACAAATTCATAATTAAAAAATAATTATTGTGTAAAACTATGATAATATAAATAAAAAGTAAAAATCATAAACCATTAAAATATTTAGTGTGTGAAAGTTATTTCTCAATTTTTCAAGGATTGAAAAAAGTTCATTTTCCCAAGGAGCTTTAATTTCGTCAAATTATGTGTTAAATTAAGTGTGGAAATGTTATTTAATTGTTTGTATTTAGGATAAACAAAATGCTAGCTGTGAAAAATACATTATTTTAAAATGAACTGAATTCTTATGATGGCAAAGCTGAATTTTCAGCATTTATTACTCCAGTATTTAGTGTCACATGATCCTTCAGAAATTATTCTAATATTTGGTGCTCAGGATTTCTTATTATGCTAAAATGCTGCTTAATATTTTTGTGGAAACTGTGATACATTTTTTCAGGAGTCTTTAATGAATAGAAAGTTCAAAATAACCACATTTATTTTGAATAGAAATTTTCTGCAGCATTATAAATTGAAAAATAATTGCATCCGCTTTTGATTAATTTAATGTGTCCAAACTCAAAAGTTGCAAAAGTTCTTTAGTACAAACATCCATAAATCAAACTTCCCTCTTATAAAAGTACATAAAAGTTTATATATTACATAAAATAGAATGTATCTACAAAACAACGTTTTATTGGAGTTCTTATGTCAAGTAGTTGAAGTTGAATTAATTGCAGAGGTTTATTATTTAGGGCGTGGGGAATATCAATCCAAACTGTAACTGGCCACGGACTTTTACACATTAATTTCATCAGCTCACACAATGGAGCGACACAGTGGTTGAGACACATTTGCTTGGGGCTTTTGGACGTTCAAACCTCACAATGTCAACGTGCGCCTGTATTATTTCACAGCATGAAAACTGTCTGAACATACCCACAACATAGAACTTACAGTAATAAAGTCTCTGAAATCCAGGCAAGCTTGAGATATATGCCCCGTACTGACTCCTAAAATATGTCTCGAAAACCTGAGTTTTAAAAAACAAACACTGCGATTATGTATGTCCTAAAATGTGTGTATTTATGTATAGGGGAAATAATCATTCTTTCACTGCTTTCTTTAATGTAATAGAAATTTCAGGCTAAATTGAATTTATGGGTCCGCAGAGAGAATCCTGCTAATCATGTAAAGCCCACCATTAGCGCGAGGATCGGCTGCCAATGGAGCGAAGTGCAAAGCATTCTGGGATACCTTACAAACACAGCTATGCATTCTGTGATGCCATGCAAACACAGCAATCTGCCAGAGTTGAATCCAGATGAATGGGAGGAATTTCTTTCTCACTTCTCATGTCTTTCATTGTCTTTCTGCCTTTCCATATCTCTGGCATTTGTTTTCTACTTTTTTAGAACACAACATTCTCTTTTATTAGGGATGCACCGATACCGATACTGGTATCGGTATCGGGCCCGATACTGGCCTCCTGTACTCGGACTCGTACTCGTTAAAATGCCCCGATACCAAACGCCGATACCACACAGCATGTGATAAGCGCCATATTCAAACAAAGAAACACTGACAACAGACAGCAGAAAGGAGTTATGGATGTCTACTACGAAGTATATGTATGCAATGAATATAATGTTAAACATTCAGTATTAACGCCTGTATAGCTGATGTGCGCAAGCTGATAAACAAAGCA